AGCTTCGGAGTTGCCGGGAGAGATGCACCACTTCACCCCTTCCCCCCGAGGCTTTCTGGGCGCTGGGGCCCAGATACATAGACATACATATATATATATGTATATATACATATATATATATATATGGTCACACACACACACACACCCGGAGGGCCATAATATATATATATATATATGCATCTACATGTACATCTACAATATACATGTACATCATATGCACGCAAGAAAAACAAAAAAATAATGAAGGATTGCTCCAAAACACCAAGGAGCAGTCAAGCAGCGTCCTGATGGGTTGTTCAACACGACATATGCGATCAAACGAGGGAGGCAAGCATTGAGGCACCACACGGGGTCATTCAGCTCTAAGGACCGAGACTTCTGATGAAAACCTTTAAAGGCGTGCAACCCTAGATATAATTTAGGCCTAGCTACATTGCTGGACCCCCCAAGTTCATTCTACGACTTCCTTGCACCAGATATTAGTCAAAAGGTATGACTTCTTCAAGTTGAAGCAACAAAGAAACTCAAACAACCAAGCAGGTCCAAAGGGATGATCTGTAACCCTCCACTCTGGAAAACAGCAAGTCCAAGCGTGTGCCGGAGGCGAGACTCAAGCAGTGGTCTCATGGGCGCGACTGAAGCACAGCTGGGAAAGCAATGCAAATTTTGGCAGCAACATGCGATGCAAAGTGCCCGAAATTTGCTTTGTTCGCGACCATTCGGAACATGAGCAGCAGCTACTAACTATGAAGCATAAAACCGGCAACAACGCTCCTGCTTTGCGCACAGTTTGCAAGAGAGGACCAGCATTGCGGCCAAAAGCGGCCAGAAGAAAGACCCGAAAAAGACATTTCAACGTGTCTTTTGCAGTTGGTTTGTGTCAAATGCTTGACCGGGCTGCCCTTACGTACCAAACTTAGGCATTTTATATGACGTAGCTGTACTGTGCGCGACACTGATTTGTTTGTGGGGAAGGCTACGTGGCTTCGTGCTGCACAGACACATGTCCGCCTTTTCCACGTACAAACAACCCGAGGATGGTGCTGGGTCCCACCTCTCACCTTAAAGTTCTTTGCAAGCAGAGATGAACTAACTCGCGCCCATATGGAATTGAACAGATCTCTTCTTCCATGTTTGGCAACCACAATCACACACACACACACACACGCATCATGTAAAAACTGCATGCAGGAAGGATCAAACAGACAAACAAACGAGGTGCAGTGATCTTGGAATGATGCCTGCGACTTCAGGAGGGAAAAGTTGTTGTTCTTTTGGAAGCCATTATCTTAAGCAGTTTCCTCTATGCGTGTCTAGGTTCCATGGGGGTTTCAGGATAGTATCCAGCATATCGCGGAGAAAAAAATAAAAAACAAGAAAAAACACGACTGCGAGCTGTTCCAGGGCAAGGGGCAATCTGGACAACCATCCGGTTCACCAAGTCGTACTGCCGCGTCACCACTGCGACGCTCACCTGAGTGGCAGGCTGTCTCCTTTCCGATCCTGCTCCGAATGCTCGACAATGACAGTGTGTCGGCCTTCGCAACACCGTTTGTTTTCGTTTTTCTCTCTACGCAGTGTACATTCTCTTGCGCATGTGTGTGTGTGTGTGCCACGTGTTGAACTCGTTCTGAAGTGACAGCGTGCAAATGGCACATGAGCAAACCTCGGTCTGAGCGGCAAAGGCTTTCAGGATCAGCCACAGACCCCCAGTTGGCTCGCCACCAAAGAGCCTGGCAGGAATGATCGGATCACGTAAACCTTTGAAAAGCATAGCTAGACTGATGTGATTTCAAGTGAAGAAAAGCCGATCCTCTTTAGAGAACATGCTCGGTTGCTTTCTGCTCCCCTGCTAAGAGTTTAACTTTTAGTGGTTTAATGGAAAGCCCATTAGTTGGCAAAAAGTTAAAGTCCTATCATCCAAGCAAAATGCAACCAAGTATGGGTTAATTATTTTCGGAAATGTTTGTTCCCAAAAGGGGCCTGAATTCTGATTTCCCTAGCCCGCTTCATTCGGAAGATGTTTTTTGTCAAGATGAGCTCCGCAAGCACTCGTTTCTGGATGCGTATAATTCCGCCAAATTTAAGTTTGACCATAATTCCAAAAGCTGAATTAGGGGATCCCCAAGTAAAGGACCTTTACTAGGTCCTCCAGTAGAGAGTCTAGAATAAGGGTACCAACTTTTTTCTGTAGTCGATTTTAGTAGGGGAACCCTCCTCCAAGAAAGGGTGAGAAAGAGCACCTAGCTGGGGGACTAGCCAAGTAAAGGACCTTTACCATGGCTGTCGCTCGGTTTTACCCCCGAATCGGTGAGCTCGCTACAACCTAGGCAAACATCATGCTGATGTTTCCAAGGCCCCAACACGCAGAGGTCACGGCGTGTTGCGCGTCAGAGTGGGATTAACGTCGATTCCAATTTCCGGAGATAAACATATCATGGCACAACCCTTTAGTTGTCTCTTTGTCTGCTTGTTGGTTACCTGGCTGGTCGGTTGCTTGCTTGCTTGCTTGCTTGATTGCTTGCCTGCTTGCCTACGAGAGTTGTGTCAAGTGTGAATCAAACTGCGCCCACATGCGCACATGCTCACATGTATAATTAAGCGTAGGGTTAAGACCTTAGGTGCAAAACGACCTCAGCCGCTGTCAGCTGTCTCCGCACAAATTTTGGCCAGTCTCTTCTTGGTTACGTGGCAACATCATCAGGCACCACTTTTCAGTACCAGAGCCAATCTCCAAATATTCCATGTGCTGACGCGTTTCCGAAAGGAGAATGTCCTCGGCTTGCGTGAATAAAAACAGCTCAATGCTCAACTAGGCGCAGGGGAGTACCCCAGATGCCAGCAATCCTAGGGTCAGTCATTGTAGCAAGCCTGGGCCAGGACAATGCGCCATGAAGAAATCCAAAAGGCGTTCTGGCGACCAATAATATTGATTCCTCCCTTGGGGTACTCTCAGGTGAGCTGGCATCCAAACGATGCCAATGCCCACTCAACCAAAAAAACAGCCTCCAGGCTCTCGGAACGTCTTCCCAAAAATACACCCAGCGTCTCACAAGACGAGGAGCTCATATTGCAAGACCTGGTCGTAAATGGCCGTTTGCGCTATGCAGAGACGGCAACCAGCGTCCTGCAAAGAAAGCAGTCAACAATCCATGAAGACATGCAAAAGGCGTTCTGGCGACTAGAAACAAGACATGGCCGTACATGGCCTCGAACAATCATTGTTGTGTGTATTTTACAAACGAACGTGCATCAGAACTGAAACTAAGTTACACTTTGGCGGGTTTGACTGCGACGGCCCGCCTTGGATCAGTCCAGCTCTTCACAGAGGGCCACTCCTCCTTGGAGATCCTATCCTGGCATCTGATATTCTAAATCATGGAAGGCACCAAAGACACATGTCATAGCTCCGAACCGGCGCGCACGTCTGATTGATTCTTGTTTACCACCAGCAGCAAAGCCGCATCCATGGCAGGAATGCAAACAGCTTGCATGTAATCACTGCAGAATTAGAAGACTCCTCAGCAACATAACTTTTGCGGGATGGCTTGCTTGGTTGGGAATCAATGGAATACGTGTGTATTAGCATTCGCAATTCAGATGCCCGAAGCTCCATGCGTGCCTGAACGGAAAGCAAAAAAAACATATACCGCCTGGCGGGAACGGCTCGAGTCGAAAGTCATGTTGCTTTTCACCGGGACATACTGTTGCTAGGACCTCCCGTAGAGAGGTTAGAATAAGGGTACCAACTTTTCTGTAGTCGATTTTAGTAGGGGAACCCTCCCAACCCAAAAATGGGTAAAAGGGCAACAGTGGGGGACCTAGTTAATGCCTTTTCGTCTGGGCCCTCCATGCAACCATCATCCCATCCAACATAATTGCAACAACCCTAGCTGGACGGCGGATGGAAGGGTAGCCACCAATGCTTGGCCAGTTTGCAAGTGGGACATGTTGAAGCAATTGGATAACATCGTCTTCTTGGGGCTACGAAGCAGCATCTCAAGTAACTAGCCTGCGTGGACATTATCCTGGCTACCCATCCTTTAAGGCCGCTACAGCAAATAGCGGTACGTACTGCATTCTGCATCATGCCTCATTGGCTCATGCTTGTCCAAATAGAAAAACCAACAAAAGCGGGCCCTTGAATGCTTGTCATGGCAAGTCCCCGAATGCCAACCTAGTTTTAAAATTGCTTGACTGATGCTTTTTGTAGCCAGTCATTTCAGCAACCCTGGTTGGGCCGAAAAAAAACAACACCATCTGAATCGCATCCAATTCGGACTCGTTCTTTTTGAAGTTCATCGCGAATGACTCAACACTTGAAGGGGAGGGGTACTTAGTAAGTGGTTAGTCTGATGAAATCACCCACTGAACGGAGACAAAAATAACCATGGCTTTTGTGGGTTATATCTCACCAGGCTTGCGATCACCACTTACCTACCCTGCATCGATCGCCCCTTTCAGCAGGGACCCCTGAACCTTCACCTCAACGACCACCCCCCACCATAGGTGTCCTTTGGGAAATAGATGGTCCTGGTAAATGGAATGAAACCAAGCTAAACCAGTCAGTGGAATCCATCTATTTTTCTAGCCAAAGCAACCTAAAAAGGACCCCCCCTCTCCCTCCCCACCCCCCGCCCCGGTTCGATCCGGCCAGCAGTAGGGGAACCGCTGCCAGGAGCTCCACAGAGTGCAAGGAGGCGGCCAAAAGCACGTGCCACAGCAGCTTCTGCCCAGCCGACGTCGCATTTTCGGCGGGTTTTGCAGCTTGGTGGTTGGAAGGAGCCCTCGGCCTAAAACGCGTTTTCACTTTGTGTGGGTCCAATGGACAATCCGAGCTGTTTTCCAAAAGTGTAAAGTCCAAAGATGCAACCAAGTAGTCATAAAGCCCAAAAGTCGGTGAACGATTTCTCAGCTTCAGTGAATGTGGACTCGCCCAGTGACCTGTTTGCGGCATTTTCTCAGAGAACAGGCCCTGCCACTGAAGTTGGCTGCTCTAACACCGTCTCACGGGGAGTCACAAGGCGGAAATGGCCGTTGGTCCCTGCAAGAGGGGAATGTAAACCAAAATTCTACCCAAATCCTGATCTGCGCCGGCCATTCGCTGGCGCACTCTGTAGACAGCGCTGGGGCGCAAAGGCCAATTGGCGCGCTTGCATGCACTGGCATTTCGCAGGGAGCACTTGCCAAACTCTTGCTCTCACCTGTTTAAAGTATCCGCCCGGCCCTGGACTTTACTAGCATTGTGGGGAATCCATGGTGATAATTCTGCCTCAACACTGCCTTGGACCCGCAGCACAGGTAGCAGCACTGAAACCATGCGAGAAATCAAGCTGGTTAAACCAACTCGTCAGCCAAATAGATATCCGCTAGGCAGCAGGCACTAGACTGCAGGTTAGCTTTGCTCGCCAGTTGGATAGCTTGCGCGCTTGCCTCGTTGCCCCTTGCTTGATTGGCGAGGTATTAGGTCAGAAAGCTTCTTGGATTTGAGAGAATGAATTTGTTGGCAAGCTAGCTGACTCGTCTTAGCTAGTTCATTCGCTGGTTATGCAGTTAGCTAGTACACGAGTATGCTTTTTTGGCCAGTTGGGTTTGCTGGCTAGATCGTTAGCTGACTAGTTGATGAGCTGGGCGTTTTAGGTACAATTGGCCAGGTAGCTAGAAGTCAAATAACCAGCTAGTAAGTTAGTCAGATAGCTTGTGAGCTAGTTCGCTAGTTTGATAGTTCAGGCAAGCTAGCTAGTGGCTAGCTAGCAAGGTCGATAAGTTGTTAGCTCAAATAGAGCTACTGTAGTTCACAGTTGGCAAGCTGCTTGGCGAGTCAGCTAGTCTGCAAGCTGGCTCGTCAAGCTGGCTCGTCAAGTACGGTTGCTGGCTGGTTCAAGAAGTTCCTTGAGCTAACTAGACGGTCACGGTTGCGCTAGTCGCCTGGTGTTTTCGCAGCCGTCACTGTCAAAAACGTTCGCTCATTTCGCTCATTTCGCTCGCAGCGTGGCAGGCGTCAACATGCAAAAACTACTTCGTTCGGCTATCTGCGGGACAATTTTGCCAATGCCCCCAACAAAGCATTAGGCGAAGCAGTGCAGTTCCCAAGCTTCGTCCCACACGAATTGGTAAGTTATTTGCTTCAAATATCTTCAAATGAACATTAACATGTGAAAAAAGCGTTCAATGACTGCCATTCACGAGCAACTGATTGACTTCCATGAGCCTTGGATAACTTGAGACTTCTGACATCATCTCCGTGTCTACAGAATTGTTTTTCGTTGGTGGCTCACCTGATGAGAGTTCTGCACTTTCGATGCCAGCTGCCTTTGGCCAACACAATGCACCATCAGAATGAATGTCAGAAACACCACGTTTGCTGACACAATTCAACAAGTCACTGGTCTGCACATCTTCCCAGGAATCAACTGGGCCAAGGTCAGCAGACTCCTCTACCACCCCACCCCCAGTTGGACACGCTTGCACTGAGTCGATAGGGGGAAAAGCAGGACTTGAGAAGAAAAGCAACAAAAGCAGTGTTTGATACCAGGCGACCAGCGCAACCGTGACCAACTAGACTGGGCTGCCCTCAGATCCCCCCCTAAAGTTTAACTTTTAGTGAGTTAAATGGAAATCACCACTAAAAACTAAAAGGCTAAAAAGCTAAGTTATAGTGCGTATCTATCAGTTAGCACTTTTTAGCAGGCGGCACAGTTAGCACATCCCTGGGTTGGCCGGAATGCCCCCGTCAGCCCCGAACAGTTAGCACACACCTGCCACACCCCGAAACCGAAAGGGGCGACCAACAGTTAGCACATGCCTCTCTGGTTGTGGGCAGAGATACGCTTTCTGAAACGAGCAACTTTCGCAATGCAGTACAAGTGTAGTAAAGGAAGTACACTTGGCAGATCCGTCTCAAAAGTCGCAACTTTTCAGTACAAGTGTAGTAAAGGAAGTACACTTGGCAGATCCGTCTCAAAGGTCGCAACTTTTCAGTACAAGTGTAGTAAAGGAAGTACACTTTGGCA